GTGCTCGTTGGTGAGACGGGCTCCGGAAAGTCGACGCAGGTGCCGCAGTTCCTGACCGCCGAGTCCTGGTGCCGCCGCAAGACGGTCAAGGTCGGCCATGACGGTCGCGAGGCTGCCGTCGGCGGTGTCGTCGCCATCACACAGCCGCGGCGTGTCGCTGCCACGACGCTGGCTCATCGTGTTGCCAGGGAGGCTGGCACGCCGCTGCGGCCTGGGGCGGAGGGCATGGTCGGTTACTCGGTGCGGTTCGATCACAACGTACCCAAGGGGACCAAGATCAAGTTCGTGACGGAGGGCATGTTGCTGCAGGAGCTGCTGCATGATCCTCACCTTCGCCAGTACAGCGCCATTGTTGTCGATGAAATCCACGAGAGGAGCGTGGATGTCGATCTGCTGTCAGGATTCCTGAAACAGATCCTCTCAGGAGACGTGTCGGGCCGTGGCGGCATCCCGTTGAAGGTTGTCATCATGAGTGCTACGGCTGACGTTGAGAGGATACAACGCTTTTTCTCAGAGGCAGCACCTGTCCTCGAGGGCGAGGAGGCGCCGGTGCCTTCGGCCAGCAAGGCAATTTCTGTTGGCGAGATGCGCATCCCTGGACGACAGTTTCCGGTACAGACCATTCATCTGCCTAGGGCGATCCCAGACATTCAGGATTCTCTTCTCAAGTCCATCTTCAGGATACACACGGAAGAACCTCTTCCTGGTGACATTCTGGCCTTCCTCACAGGCCAGGAAGAGATTGAGGCGGCACAGGGCCTCATCGAGGAGTATGCCGCTACTCTCGCTTCGAATTTACCCAAGATTCGCGTGTTCCCTCTCTTCGGCCAATTGTCAATCGAAGCGCAGCACGAAGCATTCAAGCCCATCAAGGGCGGGTTTACGCGAAAGGTTGTCCTTGCGACCAACATTGCCGAGACGTCCGTCACCGTTCCCGGTGTCAGGTATGTCGTGGACTGCGGCAAAGCCAAGGTCAAACAGTACCGCAGCCGCCTCGGCATGGAGTCTCTACTCGCGAAGCCAATATCAAAGTCATCCGCCATCCAACGAACCGGTCGTGCCGGCCGTGAAGGCCCCGGAAAATGCTACCGTCTATATCCTGAGGATGCCTTCAACTCGCTCGAGGATACGGACCTCCCTGAAATCCTTCGCATTGATGTTCTCGGCGCCGTTCTCACGATGAAGGCCCGTGGCATCGACGACGTTTTGTCCTTTCCCCTCATGGATGCTCCCGCCATTGACTCAATCGAAAAGGCCCTCATCCACCTCCACGGCCTCGGCGCCCTCGCAGACGACGGATCCATCACCTCCGCTGGCCGCAAGATGGCGGCGTTCCCCGTCTCGGCCCCTCTTGGCACCGTCCTCCTGGCGGCCGCCAAGCCGCAATTCGACTGCCTCCTCGACGTCATTGACGTCATCGCCGCCCTCACCTCGGGCGACGACATTTTCATGCAGCTCCAGTCGGAGAACGAGCGCGACGAGGCCGAAGAGCTGCGCAAAGAGCTCTACCGCCGCGAGGGCGACATACTGACGTACCTGACAACGATGCAGCTCTACGCGGCCGAGAACGCCGACCGCACCCTCTGGTGCAAGAAGCGCCGCGTCAACCTGCGCAACATGAAGACGGCCATGAACATCCGCCGGCAGCTGCGAGCCCTCTGCCTCAAGGAGAACCTCTTGGCCGAGGCGCCGCCGCCGGACCCGCAGCCCTTTGTGCCGCTGGCGCCCGAGCGGGCCGAGTCCCTCCTCAAGTGCTTCCTGCGCGGCTTCGTGTCCAAGACGGCCGTGTTGGCGCCGGATGCGAGCTACGTCACGTCGCAGGGCAAGCACGTTGTCGCCATCCACCCAGCGAGCGTGCTGCACGGGCAGAAGAGGGAGGCCATCATGTTCCTGGAGCATGTGTACACGCAGAAGAATTACGCGAAGAAGGTCAGCGTCATACAGGCGAACTGGATCATCGAGGCGCTGCAGGGCGAGGCTTGACATGCTGGTGTCATTTTCTGCGCGTGCGAGACGGCTGAGCGTTATGGGAAAAGTCTATGGAACAGCGCCGTGATGTACAAAAAGATTTGGTATACAGAGTGAGACTTGGTACATGCTTTGTCGCTTGGTGATGGTGATTTCACGGTGAGGATGCGGGACGAATGTCACGCCTCCGAATCGCCGCCACCTTCTTGGTGTCGCTTCTTGATGGCCATCATGAGCTCATACAGCTGGCCGACCTGGTCGTCTGTCGCGGGTTAGCATCACATAGGTGGGATGGCATGTGGTTTGCAACCCGAACGCACCACTCAGCTTCTCGAATTTGCCCGGCGCAATCTTCTCTCCGACCCAGGATTCGCCCTCAATCTGTTGCGCGTACAGCTGCCACTCTGAGAGGAACCCAATCTGCTTACGGTCAGGAACGCTCGTGCAACCTCGGCTGTGATGAGAGGGCCTTTCGGCGGGCGATACGCACCAGGTGGGCGGGATTTTCGACCTCTCGGTGCGCCCTGAACTCAGACTTGATGTACTCGTCTCCGAGGAGGCGCATCTCGGCGGGCAGAAACTTGCGATGGGCGCGGAGCAGGCGACGATACAGAGGAATAGGCGGCAGGAGTGGCATGGGGGCGTGACGGCCGAGGGTGCGGCTGGGGTTGGTAGCCTCGGCCAGGCGACGGACTGAGGGGCGCATCTTTCTTGATGTAGAAGCGCGCTCGGAGTTGATGTGATGTGGGCACTCTGCCGATGAAAGTTGTCGAGTTATCGATGAGATGGTGACGACTGGCGGAGGTGATGGTTCATGATGTCGAGTTCTTCGAGTGTGGATACAGCCAGCTGGTGCCAGCTGGGATACACAATTCACTTTGTCTCAAAGTGCTACGACAAGTATTGATCTGAATAGCAGCCTCCATAAGGACTACGTGACCATCTTACGTTGACCAGAATGCCGGCGGGGAACGATGGCTTTGGCCTTTCAGGAAGGCAAGGAAGATAAAAGTATCTCATTGACGAAAGAGCATCTGAGAAGTCAACCACGTATGGTGGCCTGTCCAGGTGCACGCAAAACTTCTATTGAAGAGTCAAACACTGAGGTGGAATGAAAGATAGAAGCCATTTACACGATTCTTTTACTGTCGTGGAACACAAGCAGTTATCAGTATAAGCACGTTCATGTGGACACTCGTACGTGGTGACATATACCATGTAGATGTACGTAGTCATGGGGAGTGAGCCCCTCGGTACGTACCGAAGCGAGTACCTGCATAGGCGGCCATACCGAATCAAGGCAACAAGGCATCAGTCAGCTTGCTGCAGCTTCCCATCCGTGACGCGAGCCAAAGCTGCCTGAGCTCGGATCCATCGATACGGCCAACGTCGACTACCACCACATCAACCCAATCTATTCATCACGGCCTCCTCCCCCATCGTCAAACCTCACCTCTCACCGACGCCACCCTCGGGATCACTCCCCTCTACAGAGATTCCTATTCAGGACAATACCGAATCATACACACACACACACACGTCCTCACGATGGACGCCCTGGTCTCTAGATACAGCCGTCCGGCATTCCAGGAGGAGAACACCTTCCGGGATGAGGAGGAGCAAGATCTCGAGCTCATGGGCGCCGCTCCCCCGCTGTCCCTGAAGTTCGCCATGCCCCCAGTAGCACACGTATGCTCTTTCTCGCTGCCACCTCGATCCTGCTCTTAGACTGACAACCAAACTCTAGCCCTCCTCCTGGCTCCGCGCCGCAACAGACGACCGCTCGAACCCCGACTGCCCCATCAAGATCGCCCACGGAACCACAACACTGGCCTTCCGCTTCCAGGGCGGCATCATCGTCGCCACCGACTCCCGCGCCACGGCCGGCAACTGGATCGCCTCGCAGACGGTGAAGAAGGTCATTGAGATCAACTCTGTCCTCCTCGGCACCATGGCCGGTGGCGCCGCCGACTGCCAGTACTGGCTCGCCTGGCTCGGCATGCAGTGCCGCCTCCACGAGCTCCGCCACAAGCGCCGCATCTCCGTCGCCGCCGCCTCCAAGATCCTCGCCAACCTCGTCTACAGCTACAAGGGCATGGGCCTCAGCATGGGCACCATGTGCGCCGGTGTCACCAAGGAGGAGGGCCCCGCGCTCTACTACGTCGACTCGGACGGCACGCGTCTCGCCGGCAACCTCTTCTGCGTCGGCTCCGGTCAGACGTTCGCCTACGGTGTCCTCGACGCTGAGTACAAGTACGAACTCTCCGATGAGGAGGCCCTCGAGCTCGGCCGCCGCAGCATCCTCGCCGCCACCCACAGGGACGCCTACTCTGGTGGCTTCATCAACCTGTACCACGTCAAGGAGGCCGGCTGGGTCAAGCACGGCTTCAGCGACACGAACCCCATCTTCTGGAAGACAAAGCTCGAGAAGGGCGAGTTCTCCAACGTGACGGCGGATCTGGAGTAAATGGGACGGGGCGTGCTTATGGACATGGTTATGAGAGGGGCGGGAGTTGGGCAAAGGCGCCCACTGTAACTTGTAAACTAGGATCAATCAAGTTGTGTTGCGCTCCATCGGTCGACCTGGATGAATACCGTGCGTTGCTCATGCCTTACTGGTACATTGCTATACGACAAGGTGTACATCGCGTTGCGTGTCTGCCTGAACAATTCCTTCCTTCCTTGATGGCGGCCAGGCAGCCACTGAAAACTGCGGTACTTAGGCCTGACTTGTGGTTCTCCTGCCAACAGCCACTATACCGTGACGCATGGTGTAGTGGTTACAATCCTAAGAAATACCCGTTAGGACAGGCCCTCAGGGAAGTCCGAATCAGGGTGCGCAGGCAAGGAAGGCGCGTGGAGGGGCTCGGGGTTCAACGCCGGTACACGGTCAAGGAGCAATCCTTTTTGCTTTTTGCAAGTGCTGCCAACCTGGGCCAGTATTTGTTTTGCTCGGTATGCGATTCATCTCTATTCCAATCAAGGTCCAAACTCCTATAATGGGTTTAACGTTTGGTGAGCAATACATGTGGTACACTATTATACAAGTCTTGATACATCATGAACTCCGCTTTACCCACCCTTTCGCACCCAAGATGCCCCCATCATCGCCCGTCGGATCAAGAGGCCACTTTTTGATCGAGTGTACCGACAGCTCGCTCTCATAACCAGCCTCAAACATCTCCATACCGGTCCAAGCAATCATAGCTGCATTGTCCGTACACAGCTCAACAGGCGGCGCCGTGATCTCGATGCCGTCGTAGCCCCGCACGTCAAGGAACGCCCGGAGCACATGCATCAGATATCGATTGCTTGCCACACCGCCAGCGACAACCAGCGTCCGCACGTCTTTGAGCCCCATCTCCTCGTTGCCAAGCGCCAACACGACGCGGCTGGCCAGGTGCTCAAACAGAATCCGCATCGTGTCGCGGCCCAGGTCCCGCCGCTCAGCCTCACTCATGGCGGGCCGCGCCTCGGCGATCCGTTGCACCTGGGACCCAAAGCCGGAAAAGTCGTAGCGCATACGCCGCGTCGTCGCGAACGGGGGCTTCAGGTGCCAGCCGTGCGGGGAGCGGTATGTCGCGATCTCGTCGGCGCGGATGCGGGGCGGGGTGTAGGCGTAGTCTACGGCGCGGCCGTCGGCGGCGGGCGGGAAGACGAAGCGTTCAAAGAGGCGGCCGTACATGACGTCGTCTGTTGAGGCTGTCAGGGACGCGGGGAGGACTTGGCGGGCGGCCTTGTCGATTGCGTTGCCGATGGCGACCGAGTCGGCCTCGGCGAGGATACGGTGGTCGTTGAGCGCGCGGGAGTGGACGAGGATCGTGTGCCCGCCTGACACAAGGAGGGAGAGAAAGGGAAAGGCGGGCTCGGGCCCGGTGCTCTTTGGCTCGGCAGGTCCAGATGCGCCGTTTCCTGCCACGGTTTTCGCCCCGCGCGAGGGCAGTGACGAGACGGGGCGTCAGGGCATGGGCTTGCATGTGGTTGACGGCCACGAGGGGGACCTGCCAGGCGGCGGCGATTCCCTTTGCTGTGTGGAGGCCCGCTGACAGGTTGGCGAGCATGCCTGGTCCTCGTGTCACGGAGACAAAGTCGGGCTTTTGCTTCTGCCGCCCGCGGACCGTGATTGTATTCGGCGACGTGCTCTTTGCGTCGGGGAGGAACGGCAAGCTCTCGTTGACGAGTTCCGCGAGGGTGGCGCCATGGCCGGCGAGCGCTATGACAGGAACGACACCGCCAAAGGCGCGGTTGTCAGAGGTACGCTTCTGGTTGTAGTGGAGGGTCGCAGCTCCGTCGGGGTCCTTGGACAGAAGGGCTACGCAGGTGTCGTCGCAGGAGGTTTCAATGGCGAGGGTGAGGAGATGACGGTGGTGGGAGGTGCGTGCCAGCCGTTGTGTGCGGAAGAGCGCTTGGCTGCGCGGTTGACAGGCATTGAGCCATGGTCTTGGAGCGCGGCAGAGGGCTCGCATCAAGATGGATTTCAAAGTGAAGGTTCCGATGCCAGCTGGGCCGCGGGAACCCATACCTCGTGCCAAACTCTTGGTTCGACCTCTTATCTTATCGCTCCATGACTGACCGAGGCTTCACCGAGCCCCTGAATTAAGAACTATCACCACATCCCCATCAGGTTTACTACAGTTTCACTCAACCCTTTGATCTGGCTATCCGTCTTGGAGAACAAAGCTACAATCACCAAGCCGCAGGAAAATACATGGCTCAGATCCCCAGGTCGTGACTGTTTCTACCTCTTTCCACGTGCACTCGACGAACCAATTGAGGTTTTTAGAAACTCCGACCGGCCCAAACAACTCGCGGCTCCTGTGAACCACAGTTTAAGCAGATAATTCTTCTTTTTCTCTTTGCTATCTGCACGAGTTTTCCGATTCCTATCATTCCGAAACGTCTCACTCAATGCTCCAATCACCCTCAAAGCCTGGGTGCACGCTTACTTGCCCCAGCAGGTGCTCGCCCCAATTCGTACCATCCACCCTCTGGCCTCCAATGGTCCAGTTCCGAATGACGATCCCAAGTGTCAGATTTCCCTGGCCAGGCGTGTAGTTATTCATGTTCTCCCCGGCATCCATTCCCACCACGCTGTGCCCAAGTCTGACTGTCTCGTCGTCATGCATCTTTTCGAAGTGGACATTCTCAATGAGCAAGTCAAAGTTTTGAAGCGGCGCCATCGTCATGAGAGCCGCGCAGATACCCTCGCACACAAGATCACTGATATGCAGCGACATCTTGCGCGACGGATCAACCAGCTTTGGATCGGCGTAGAACGGTGACGCGCCCAGGATAGCCGACGGCACATATGCGTTCGGTTGGATCCAGCGGTTGTGGATCAGGCGGACATGCTTGACGGACACGCCGCTTACATCACGTGGTTTCCACCCCATCTGGATGATGGCGTTGTTGCGCGCCTTCCAGATGGTCAGGCCCTCGAGCTGTGCCCCTGAATGGTACAGCTTGATAGCGTCGTCGTTGACGTGCCAGAAGACGTCGCGCACCGTGCCCTTGTACATTTGCGTCCCATCCGTCTGGAAATAGAAGGCCCCGACCTGCTTGTAGTCCTGGATGTGGCTCTGCACCTTGTTGTCCTCCTCGTGCGGTGTGTGGTTCATGGGGTGGAGATCCATCGTGTTGAAGGGCGGCGCATTCAGGGTTGGTCCGATGCAATGCCACGTCTGGTTGTCCATGACTGACTGGTGCCAGAACATGCGTAGGCTGTAGCGGTCGTCTTTGACCGCAGTGTAGTCCTCGATCGTGTTGGCCATGTAGGCATAGTTTTCGCCTGACACTACGGCGTGGCCGACGGTGTAGAAGTCAGAGTGCTGGGTTGTGTATTCGAAAGCACCTTTGATGTAGGTTCCCGGCTCGAAGTAGATGTAGTGTGTACTTGGGGAGAGTCTGACATGGTCCTTCCCGAGAAGGCCGTCTTTCTCGACCCAATAGACCCCGGCCTCAAAGTACAGAGTGGGCTTCGATCCCAATGCTTCCCGGGTCAGACTTCCCGGTTTCATCACTTGGGTTCCTGTTGACGTTTTTGAGGGAATAAGATCATCCGGAATCATGGGACTCGCGAAGATGAGGAGAGCGTTCTTGGGTTCTTCGCTGACTATGACGCCGCCCTCCGCCACGTAGTCTGTGCCATTTGAGCGAAAAGTGTAAAGATCATCCTGGAACTCGACAGAAAATCTGGCGCCTGACTTTTGGTACGGGACCCGAATAACGACTGTGTCTGGCTGGGGGCTCCTAACTTTGAAACCAAGGTCGACCGGCCGTATGACGATGTTTGAAGCCGGACCAAGTGCTGATCCATCGGAAGAGATGATGCGAACATCGACATCTCTGCGATACTGAAATTGAGTCCAGGCCATGCTGATCCCGGCGTCTATCTCAACAGTGACGCCATCGCCGTCTGTGAGGTTATACTCCTTGCCAGTCTGTGCGGGATCGAACATCTTCCCGTTGCCATTGCGAGGGATGGACTCGTACACAAAGGAGCGTTGAAAACGGCCGGTGCTTGCCGCCGAAACGGACACTTCATATCTGCGTGACCTTCGAACTTCATCAGGCGCCGCAGGTCTCTGGATGTCAATGGTGGATTTGTCGTGCCACCAAGTCTTTACACCAGGAACACATGCTCCAGATGCAGGGCCAGATAGCGTCGCCAGAAGAAGGAGAAGTGCGTTGAATGAAGAGAGATACATGATGGTGCTGATGATCGTGGAAGCTGCTTGCTCTATCGTGAGAATCAAACAAATCCGTGGCCATCAGCGCAGCTATTTGTGGTTGCATACTGGATGGCGATTCTCTCAAACAGGTAGAATTGCAACCACTTGGAAGCTAGCCTCTCGACGGGCAATTACCTGATTGGGAAAGACACCGCATAATACCCCAAGGATGCAACTTGCGGGGATAGCTTGGGGAACCTGGGGATCACCCGACGTTACCGAGAAGATGAGGGATCGTCGGCAGAGCGGCTTTCTGGGATTTTATGGGATGATCCAGACACAGCGCTGAAATGTTCGGTCGATCCAAATCAGCCACAGCTTGGCAACGACATTGGAGGGGAAGGATTGATGAATCGCATTGCATTGGATAGTAAGCCCCTTATGGGACGTTCTGCCAGACCACGTCTGGAACCTCTTCATTACTGTCATACCCTTCTTGGTCTACTTCGTCACACGGCTCAATAGCTCTGCCCGTCTCTCTTTGCATAAGCAACGCTGTGGCTCTCTCAGCCAATGGACCCAAGTAGCAAGACTCTTGATTTCGAAAATTGGCCAGCAGACACATGAAGCTGTGCAGAAGATTAGGGATAGAATCCATACCCCCAATCAGGTGTTCTGGTGGTTGCCTGGGCAATAGGTCACAGAGGAAACCTGCAATATCCGATATTTTTTGTTCCTGTTTGTGCATTGAGTGGTTAGTTCGTGTTCATAGTTCATCACCGTGCGATATGCGACTTACCATGCCAATGCCGTGAGACCCCAAGATCTCCAGTCTGGCAGCGCTAAAGCAATTGAGCAAGTCGCGCGCCGCAGCACGTACCAGAGTGGCCGCCCCCTGGCCATGCGACTCGTTGGAACGGATCTGAAGCTGACAAACGAGAGTTCGGAGCCAACATTGTGTGACTGCGACGTCGACCCTCTGGGTCTCGTCAATGATAGACGCCAGAGACATGGTGGAGAATTGATCCGGGTCTAATAATCTAGCCACTGAGTCGTTGGTTCCTTTGAGATAACCTTCGCTCCAGGAGCATACAAAATCAGTGTCTATGGTGTTGAACAGCCTTGCCAACTTGACAAAGCCTGACAGCGTTGGCTCATCTGCGCCATCATATATCCTGGGCAAGGCGATGGATGCTCTCAATATGGGTGTTGTTCGGTGTTGAAGGCAGTACGCCCTAGCGCACCAGTCAGCAGCATGTCAGAAGTAGCAGGTTTGGGGGCATTATCTTGCCTTTCGGTAATGAAAAGCAACCAGTAAAGGCGCCTTCTTCGTTCATTGACCTCCAAGCTCGGGTCGTTGTAAGACTCCTCTCGGTTCAGGCCCAACGCTAGAGCGAAACTTATCGCCTCTCTCAAGTGGTACCACGCCTGTTTACTCTTGTTGCAATTTCCATAATAGGAGAATATGAAAAATGACTCCATAATCGTCCATTCATCCGCATCTTCGATGTAAGACCTGTCAAGACGACCAGCGAAACATTGGCTGATGTACTTGTCCGCGAGCCGCATAGACAATACCTGTCCAGAAGTCTGAGCGACGTCGAGCCCGTCCACGCTCGGGTCTGTGAGATTCAACTGAACAATGACAGCAGCGGACATGGCGGCGAAGAACCTGCCAAGGCTCGGTGACACGAGCCCCGTTGGCAGCGCTAGTTTGCTGAGCAAGCAGCCTGGGTCCATGATGGGAAAGACCGGATACAGTCGTAGAAGAAACACCCGTGTCCAATGGGCATATTCTGAGAGGGGATATGCGGCCGGCATGTTCAGCTCCTGGGGTTGTGCCTCGAGACCAGGTTGGAGGCTTTCCAAGGAGATGGTCGGAATAGGAAATGGGCCACCCCTGGCATGTGGCATGCTTTCAGGGGATGCTGCCAATGTGCAGGCTTCGAGGCTGTTTTCAGAATGAGTGCCAGAACGATCCCGGTGTCTTAGGCTTGGCAATTCGTTTGGAGGGGAGGTGATTGCCACCTTCGAGCCGAATTCCGGAGGGTTGTGTAATCCATTTCTGGGTGATGATGAACATGCTGAAGCTGGCGACGGCTGATCCCGTAGTTGAGCCTGCTGGGACTTCTCTTTGCTGCTTTGCTGTCGATCCTTTCGAGGCGGTCGACCTTTGCGCTTTGGCATAGATGCATACGTGCAGGCTGATTTTGTGTCCTGGCAGGGACCGCACGGCTCTCGTCTGTCGCATTTCATCTTCCGGTATCTGCAGTGGTCGCATGCCCGGCCAGGGGCGGGATGGAGTTGTCTCTTGCCGTCATCTTGAGAACCGATCTTGAAGACGATCATGTCACTTGAGCAAAGCGGGTTGTCTGAACGTCGAGGAGCCGGGCATTGGGTCAATTGGTGGATGTGCGGAGTGTCGTATCAGGCCATGCGTTCAACCTCCCTTTTAAGTAAACGCCCGCAGCCAAGTCATGGCCCAGCTCGCTTCCACGGCGATTGCTAGCGTCTTCGTTTCCCCGCAGGACTGAGCTTGCCGATCTGGCCGGCCGGCGAACTTCGCCGATGCGCCGACATAACATATAGGTTCTGGGTCAAATGTAAAGGCATATAGCCATAACAAGTCAATTTTTCTGTTTCTCATAACTAAGTAGTCTGTAATCAACATAGTGGTCGAGACTGGCACTGTACTGCAGAAGGTTCAACTGAAGCACGCCGCCTCTACGGAGAAAGGTTGAGATGCTCTGCCCGGATGTCTTGCGTCGTCTGCCGCTCCTGGAAGGATCATTTGTAGGGCAATATGTTTTCTTAGATAAAAGATACACCCATCAACCCCCCTAGTAATGTAATTTAAATGCTCCTCGGCTCAAGTTCAGGAGGCTTTAGGAACCTTTGACCTTGGTGGGTGGTTTCACGCAGAATCGATGCTTAACTTGTTCACTTCTTTCCACCGGCAATCCCATCATCTCGACATTTCGTTCGTGTTTCCAGCCAGAAACGGGATCTAAAAAACCAGATGTCTTTCATAAGCCCTTGAACGAAAGACGAACTTTTGCGCGATGCAAACCGCGATGCAAACTAGGGTCAGCCACAACTCCACCTCCGGCCCATTACTCAAAATGGAAATAAGCCGCACCTACGGCCGGGGCGAAGCCCAAGGCATATCCCCGCACGAGTCTAGGGGGCGGTAAGTTTCCCCATGGGATCCAAATGCCAACGTATACTGGTGCTCTTGGATCGTCCTAAGTGCTCATCCTGATAAGTATAAAAGCACCTGTCCGCTATAAAGCACAAGTTGAAGGATGGATCGTTACCGACCAAACACCTGGAGACCAGCGACAAACCCCCAGCATCCAATTTAGCTATCAATTAGCAAACAAGCTTCTCAATGGATTCAGAGAAACAGGACCGCCCTAATGCTGAGCATAGAGCTCCCGCCCGACAAGTTGAAGATGCGGCGACCCTCGCTACGCGCCTTGAGCGGCAGATGACTGTTCGTCAGTCTCTGCGTTTCTGGCCAAAGGCTATCATGTTCTCTTTGATAGTTTCTCTTGCTATCATCATGGAGGTGTGTATATCTGAATCCCGAGAATCGTCCTCACACTCACTCGTTGGTAGGGCTATGATACCAATTTGATGTCCAACTTCTATCCCTTTCCCATGTTCCAGAAACGCTTTGGCGATCAGGTAGACAAGGATGGGAATCCTCTGATCAGCGCTGAGTGGCAAACCATCATCAACAACTCTGGCCAGGTGAGCCAATTCAGCTCCAGCATTCTACAATCATCGGCTAATATGAGATCATTCGCAGGCTGGATCTATCCTTGGCCTCTTCATCAATGGTATAATCACCGAATGGATCGGATACCGCTGGACGATGCAGGTTGCCATGGTTGCAATGATCGGTGCAATCTTCATTCCGTTTTTCTCGACTGGCCTTCCCATGTTCGTCGCGGGAGCGGTGTGCCAGTCGATTCCGTGGGGCATCTTTCAGACCCTTGCCGTCACTTACGCGGCTGACATCTGCCCTCTGGCCCTCCGCCACTACATGACCTCTTGGGTAAGATGACTGGGCGATAGACCGGTGATTTACAGTATACTAAACAGATGCAGATAAATATGTGTTGGGTCATCGGTCAGCTTATTTCCATTGGCATCTTGAATGGCCTCCTTTCGCGCTCGGACGAGTGGGCCTACAGGATCCCGTTCGCGCTGCAATGGGTAAGTTTTGAAGCCGAACACTCTGCTTTTCACGTTTGAAAAAGAAAATGCTTACAGAAACAGATCTGGCCTGTTCCAATCATGATTGGGACCTACTTTGCTCCCGAGAGCCCCTGGTGGCTCGTCAGACATGGCCGATACGAGGAGGCGAAGAACGCCGTCTCCAGCATGATCACGCCGCAGGCTGATGTTGAATTCGACCTCGACGCCCACATTGAAATGATGCGTGTTACAACCCAGTTCGAGAGAGAGAATTCTGCCGGTGCTCATTACTGGGATTGCTTCCGGGGTTCCAACCTGTAAGTGATCAGCCTAGAAACTGGTCTGGTAGTCGGCTGCTGATCATGTCTCCAACAGTCGGCGCACTGAGATTGCGTGCGTGGCTTGGCTCACGCAAGCATTCGCCGGCACGCCCTTTATGGGTTTCGGCGTTCAGTTCATGATCCAAGCTGGCTTATCTGCTCGTCACGGCTTTGCCATGAATCTCGGACAGACAGGCCTGGGTCTCCTAGGATGTATTCTGGCCATGTGGGTTCTGACGCGATTCGGGCGTCGGACAATCTACCTCGTAGGCCTGGGCTTCGCCTGCGTTGATCTGACCATCATCGGTATCCTTGGTATTCCAACCGAATCGCCATCAACGTCTTGGGCTGTCGGCGCCCTCATGGTCACCATGGTTATCTTCTACCAAATCACCATCGGTCCGGCCTGTTACACTATCGTGGCAGAGATTCCGTCCACTCAGTTACGTATTAAGACTGTGGCTTTCGCGCGAGCCTGCTACAACGCTGGAGGCTTCATCACCAACGTGATCATGCCACGCATGCTTGGTAAGAACGCCTGGAACTGGGGTGCCAAGAGTGGCTTCTTCTGGGCAGGCCTTGCGGGTCTCTTCTTCACCTGGACATGGTTCCGTCTGCCCGAAGCCAAGGGTCTGACTTACGCGGAACTGGACTTGCTGTTCGAGCATAAGACGAGGACTCGGGGTTTCTCTCAGCAAGCGGCGGACATGCTTAAGCCAGAGCTTGAGGAAGTCGGCAACAGAAAGCCTCTAAGTTAAAGAGCATTTTCTTTTTGGCACCTGGCATGTATCAATTAATGCCAACCAAAAACAAGGTACCTTGTGCATAGTTCAACTCGAATGTGGAAAGATCTATCTCTTTGCCACGTATTTGCAGGAGAACGACAAAATAATGTTTTTCGCCGTTCAGCATGAGACGCTTCGTTTGTTCTGTAAAATCATCTTAGTTGAGCATGAGAAGCAATTAACGTGGAAACAGGTGAGACAAGCAGAGTTATGGCAACCAATACTAGGCACAATTAAAACCCTTTGAGGCAATTACTCAATGATCAAATGGTCTTTACTATCGAGGATTCTGTCCACAAACTTGTCCGCCGAAAAGAGTTTCATCACCGACCGGCCCTTCAGACCAGCTGTTCCAAAGCTCCGCGTTGACTGACTTGAACCTCAGGGACATCTCGAACGAGGCTCACCCACTTTGGTAACACCGACGCAGCCACCCAGTTCCCATGGATCTGTGCCTTGACGTGCAGTGGAAGCTGAACAATGGCCACCGGTTTCTCGAACTCTTTCGTGTCCAGAACAACCAGGTCATTGCGGTTCGCACCACGACGCTCAACCATGGCAATGACCCAGCCGTCGCCCTCAGACGCATCCGAGCTCCGCGGAACAAAGACGGGCTCCTGCACGAGTGAGTCATCACCGGAATAAAACCAGCGGGTTTTGCCTGTCTTGTGGCTGTGCATGGCCAGGCCATTGAGGCCGTGAAAGATGTTTCTGCCGCCGTCTGACCTGTTGGGCACGAAGACGTTGAGGAAGATATATTCGTAGTCGGACGTCATGAAACGTTCGTCCATTCGCGGGAACTCAGAAGGCACGTCTAGAACGACGAAGGGATCCGGTATAGTAGAGCCGCTGGGCTGACTGAGGTCAATCTCCCAGCGCACAAAGTCGGCCTTGGCGTCGGGTGCTGGCATTCTCCCATCACCGGGAGGGAAAAAGGGGAACGCATTGTCGTGGACACGCGACGAGTCTACGTAGAGTTTACCGTCCTTGGACTCGAAAGCTCCACCAGTATGGATGGGCATGCAGTTCCTCCAAGAGTAAACCCTATGTTCACCCTGTTTCCAGCCGGCGGGCAACGGGGTTGTCTTGCGTCGGGGGACGACGACGAAAGTGGCTGGCAGATTATAGTCCCAGGCCCAATGCTGCTTGCCCGCCTTCATTCGATCGAGGTCGGCTTCGAAGGGCCAAAGGAAGAGGATGATCCATTGAGGTGTGATGGCGCAGTCGTGGATGAAGGCGCACCACGGTGCCTCAATCCATTGTTCGTCGTGCTTCTTACCCTCCTTGTCGAGGGCATAGATGACAACATCCTTTGTTGCCAGCCCTTTGGCCTCATAGCCAAAAACAACAAGTTCGTTAGTGAATGGATCAACCTTGGGGTGAGCGGTGAAGGTTTTGGCCTTGACTTGGTCTCCGAAGGGATCGTAGGACAATGTCTCGAGTGTGTCAGGATCGAGAGCGTAAGGCAGAGCGACTTCTTTGAGAGCGAGCAATTTTTCAGCCCAGAAGACAAGATTCGTGTTTGCAGTCGAGTCAACAGCGGCCCGAACGCAGGGGTGGTGCGTGAAAGGATTTCGGTAGAGACCAAATAACGCTTTGTTGGCCCTTCGTTCAAGCTTGTAGCGTTCTGTCTCGATGTACCGAATCTTCATGTCGACCCGTCCATTGCGGATTCGAAACGCTGAGACGTTGCCATCACCATCAATGGGTACATTGTCCGGGTGAGGAGGGACTAAGGGATCGCACATGACACGGTAGAACGTGCCATCAATGGTTGCAGGGATCTCTCCAAGAACGACGACGTCGCCAACTTCCCCCTCGATGCGGCATGGCAAGCTGGAGCCAGCTAAGTCAAATGCCTGAGGCCACTTGCTGGTGAGCTGGGGTTCTTCGTCGTGCCGGGTCATGGTGTTTGCATTAATCGTCCAAGGGTAGATAGGCAGATTGACAGAGGAGCACAGAGAGTGACTTGAAGCAGAAGTATGACTATATCCAATGCCTTACAAGGATGCCCTAATATACAATTTACGACCTCACCAAATTACAAGCCCTCGTCTGGAAGCCGGACAAAACCCACGAGCAGAGTCTTGACCACGGCGTAGTCTCGTGAGCTTTCCGCCTGGCTGAGCCTCTCAGGCCCTGTGGTGGATGTCAAACGCAACCCCAATGACTGGCTGACGCCTCCTTCAACGATGGTGTTGTGGGGCGGACAATTCCCGCCTCCGCTCGCTCAAGCTCCAGTTCATGTTAAGATCCGGATCTGCTCCAACATTGCCGTGCATATGCCGAGTGGGCGTGATGCGGGGAAACACACAGTTCCGCTACCCTGCCTTGGACTACTAACGAAATGAACCAACCCCAACTTTGCCAAGGGGTTGTTTTGCCCGCCCAAGAACCTCGCTCCAAGACCTATAAGGTACTTGGTATATCCACTCACATCCTGCGTATTCCGATGATGTCCGCAAGGACACACGCATGTATCTCAAACGGCAAAGCACGGCCATGAGTGAGTGAAGCGGATCTCTTTTTGCCCCAGCTTTCAAGCTGATACTGATTCGAATCCAAGGTGTAGGACAGCGTGATAGCTATTGTGTTTGCCCCTTTTGCGAAGCGAAGTTCTCGAGATCGTGAGACACCATCTGAACACCTCTACCAAGGGTCCGCTGCTGCAGCTCTTGGTACATTGACCATATGGTTTCTAATCTAGCAAACTGCTAGGGACACGGCGCGGCGTCATTCAACAACCTGCCCACAGAAGAGAGGACGGCCCATTCCTCCGCCACGCAAAAGAGGCCGCAAATTCAAAGCGTGTGACGCTTGTGCCTTGGCCAAAGAGGGCTGCGATGGCGGGCGGGAGCGGCCTTGTTCTCTGTGCTTGAGTCGTCGGCAGACCTGCACTTTCGGGCGAGCGAGACTTGGGGAGGTTGACTGCCCAAAACCATCGCAACCGTATCTTTCAACTAGGCCTGTCCTGCCTGATCATGTAGGAACCGCTCTAGGTCTTTCTTGGCCCCCCCCAGAACGAGCCTCGTTGCCCGCCACTGGAAACGGACCTGGCAAAGTCTGTGGCGATGATCATGGCAGCCATTGCACGAGAATACCGATATCATTCCTGCTCCAGTACACGGACCCCCACAACAGCAGGATTCACCAGTACTTTCCATCTCCTCGAACAAGCAATGATGATGGGTTCCCACCGTCCGCGAGCCAAGCCAAGAGTCCAGCAGATAGCGAAAGCCCCTTAGACTTGTACGAAGACCCCAGCGGCTGGAATTGGACCATTACAGGAGATACAGAGTCTCTTGAACAGTTCCTCGGACTCGACATCTTGCCTATTGAAAGCTGGGACTGCGGGGATGGAGTGCGATACTCTCCCTCAGAGGGCCCCAAAGTGGAAGATCCTCTTATCGAACAGCGCATGTGCGAGGTCCTATCGGAACTTGATTCCCACAATGAGATGGACTCTTTGGGCCCATACATCAGATTGATCTTTTGCAAGACACGTGTGCAGGCATTGACCCAGTCATACTTCACCTCCTGGCATCCCCATTGTCCGTTACTGCGCGAACCGTCCTTTGACGCAGTCTCCGCCTTTCCACCGTTGCTTGCTGCCGTCATGATGATCGGCGCGACGTATTACTCGAAAGAAACTGCAGAGGCGGCAAATAATTGTCTCGAAGCTGTGGAACATTACGTATTTGAGCACGAAGCTTTTCGACGCCTTCTCGATCCTGCAGAAGCAAAAGCTGTGATGACAGATATCGCACCACTTCAAGCAGCTTTCATTATGGCAATACTGCTGCATTGGAATAAGGACAGAGCGTCCAGAAGACGAGTTCGCCTTCACCGGTATGCCGACCTTGTCGCCGCGGCGCGCAATTTGGGGCTTCCGAGCCACAGGCACAGTGACGGCGCGCAAGCGGCGATGCCGACCTCTGAGCGTGAGTGGGACGTATTTTTCCGGGCGGAAGAAGCCATCAGGTGAGACTGAATCAGAGGCATGATTTCTTCCTGTAGGAGCGGAAAAGACTGAAAACGCGTCGCAGACTGGTGAACTGGATCTTCCTTGTCGACTCATCACACGCCATATTCCACCGCGCACCCCCGAAATTGACGCTGTCGGAGATGACAGGGAACTTCCCATGCTCTGACGAGCTATTCGCAGCCTCACACAGCTTCCTGCAGCAACAGCAGAGCTGGCATCGGGCTTTCCCGAAGCTGCACTCTATAGCGGAGGGCATGTCCCTGCTGATGCGGGATCCTTGGACGGATGAGTTGCTGGCGGAATTCCAGCATCTCGGCTATCAGGGCTTCTTCATTCTGATATCAGGTGCGTACTTTTCTCTACCTTTCAACTCCAAGGACCGGCCTGACAAACAAGCTGGCCAGGCCTCCACGAGATCATCTTCAGCGCCGAGGCGTCATGTTCTCTCGCCGCGGTAAAGCCGGTGGTGAACCGAGCACTCACCCGCTGGAAGCTGCTCTGGGACCTCCAGACGCAAGATGTGCCGCAAGACGGAAGCGGCCGTTTCGGATTTTACGAGAACGCTGGCGAGTATTGGTGGCTTGCAAAGCTCTTCCTCGACAAGGGAACGCCCTCGACAGCAGAAGAGGGCGGGAAAGTCTTCGATCAGGACTCCATGGAAGGCGTCAATGACTTTGTTAGGAGATTCGCCGAGATGCGCATGGAGTAATCGTTGCGCCCGACGCAGAGGGCCCGACCGACATGTATATCATCGTTGTACTTCTCTAGTCAACGAGTCGTTGGCTCTGTATTTCTCACTGGCACTGAAATAGAAACCATCAAACTGTAAAAGAAAACAGCGGTATGTAACTTTCCAGGTGATGTGGGTGCACGGCGTTTCCTTCGAAAGCCAACCCCATGATAGGACAGACGGACAGGCTCAGTTGGGGTCCTGGTAGTAGCTTCGGCGACTGCAAAAGTATAATGAAACCCCTCCTGACCTTGACGATTCGGCCTATCCATGCCGGGCTACCCGGGCCTGGCGCCGGGCCGAAGAAAATGCCCGCAAAAAGCGGCACTGGATCACAGCACCACATGCCGGATGAGCCTCCCAAGAGTGGAAGACCATCGGTTCGCGATCTTTTGGAAAGGAGCGCCGTATGCAGCGAAGCAACCAAGAGGCCCTGGGCCTCGACCGCCACGGTCTCGTGATCTTGGAGAGGGGCAGCCCGGCTGGGACGATGAAGCCACGTCAAGCGCTCCAATACCTTGGCCTGCTAATGGATAGTCCCATCTCGCGATGCAACCCCCAGACGGCGCATTCACGGCTGAGGCGTGCCGGATCGCCCAGCGCCCCCGGCACGAAACGTCATTGCCGTGACGTTGCGGTTCGCACTAATTGGTGCGGGAATGTCTTGCAGAGACGAGCTGTCAAGTCGATATACATCGTTTTTGTGTTTTCTTGTTCGTATAGACATGGGCGATGTCACGTCGGCAGGTAACTAGGCATCGTCGGCGGTTCAGGGTTAGATACGGTGTGCTCTCTTGCCCCCCAACGCTCGTGATGAACAGACCCCGGGTACAAGAAGGCGTCCAGCCTGCTTGCGGGCCAGAAGGAGAGTGGACCTCCTGTTCACAGACTCACAAAGAGTCCGGTAAATCCAGGATCACGAGATCTTTCGTCCTTGCCTTTTTCACACTCGAAGTCTCCTCATCATGCCGTTCTCGCGACGAAACGCTCGCCCTTCATGGGCCCTCGCCCTGTGTCTCGCGACCTCAGGCGCGCTCGTGGCCGCCGGACCCTGCGACAGCTACGCCAAGGGCGACACGCCCTGCGTCGCGGCGCACAGCACGACGCGCGCCCTGTACGACACGTTCACCGGGTCCCTCTACCAGGTGAAGCGCGGCTCGGACGGCGCGACCACCGACATTGCACCCGTGTCAGCCGGTGGCGTCGCCGATGCCAGCCGTCAGGACAGATTCTGCGCCGGCACGACGTGCGTCATCACGGTCATCTACGACCAGTCCAAGAACAACAACCACCTGATGCAGGCGCCGGGGGGCGACTTCGCGGGCCCAGCAGCCAACCGCGCCGACAACCTGGCGAGCGCCATCGGGGCGCCGGTGCAGCTCTTTGGCAACAAAAAGGCGTACGGCGTCTTCATCGCCCCGGGCACGGGGTACCGCAACAACGCGGCGCAGCGCACGGCGCGTGGTGATGCGGCACAGGGCATGTACGCCGTGGTCGACGGTACGCACTTCAACGGCGGCTGCTGCTTTGATTACGGCAACGCCGAGACGAGCACAAGCAACACGGGCAACGGGCACATGGAGGCCATCTACTTTGGCGACAGCACGGCGTGGGGCTCCGGCTCCGGGAGCGGGCCGTGGGTCATGGCCGACCTCGAGAACGGCCTGTTCTCGGGCCACAACGCCCAAGAAGACGACGACAACCCGTCGCTGTCGCATCGCTTCGTCAGCGCCGTCGTCAAGGGCGGGCCCAACAAGTGGGCCATCCGCGCCGGAGACGCCACGGCCGGCGACCTGTCGACCTTTTACAGCGGCGTGCGGCCCGCCCGCGGCTACGATCCGATGAAGAAGGAGGGCGCCATCGTGCTTGGCATCGGCGGCGATAACAGTGTCAGCGCCCAGGGCACGTTTTACGAGGGCGTCATGACTTCGGGCTACCCGTCCGACGCCACGGAGAAGGCCGTCCAGGACAACATCGTCGCGGCGGGCTACAGAGTCGCGCCGCTGTCCTCGGGGCCCCGGTTGTCCGTCGGCGCCCGCGTCTCGCTGCGCGCCACTTCGTCCTGCTGCACGACGCGTTACCTGGCGCACGCGTCGACGGGTACCGGCGTCGATACGCAGGTCGTCTCGTCGTCGAGCGCCGAGACGCTGCGGAAGCAGGCGACGTGGACGGTGCGCACCGGCCTCGGCAACAGCGGCTGCTTCTCCTTCGAGTCGGTCAGCAACCCCGGCAGCTTCATCCGCCACTACAACTTTGTGCTCCGGGTTGACGCCAACGACAATAGCAAGTCATTCCGCGAGGATGCCACCTTTTGCACCGAGGCGGGCCTCAACGGCCAGGGCAGCTCGATCCGCGCCTGGGGCCACCCCACGCGGTACATTCGTCACTTTACCAACGTCGGATATGTGGCCAGTAACGGCGGCGTTCACACCTTTGATGCTGCTCGTGAGTTCAACAACGACGTGAGCTGGGTGGTTGGTGCCGGACTCTCGTAGTCGGTGGCCATTCCCCTCGAGCAAGGCGCCTGGAGAAATCAAGCAGACCTACTTACCGGAAATAGACATGTTGTCAATGTTGGCGTTGGGCACAACAACCCGGTTTGATTGATTAAATTAAATATATATGATTGTGATACCCTGCTGGACTTTTTGCTCCCGTTGTTGCCTTCAGTTCATGCCATGCTGTCGTTGTCCTCGTCATCACGTACCACCTCAGACGCTTCTCTTGTCCAAGAAGTTGACCCATTCACACTTGCAACCTCCATCTCCTCCGTCAAAGCCCCCGAACGAGGTATCGTTTCTCGCTCTAGGGTTCACCAGCGTCCCTCCAAACCCAATGTTGTTCGCAATGAGCTTGGGGTCGCTCGTGTCGATCCTCTGCCGGCTGTCGACCTTCCAGTGCCACACCACCTTCTCAAGAGGCTGGCCTCCGTGCGTATCCATCGTCACGGTGATGGGGTACGGCATCGTCCCCGGCCGGTCCGTCGCCTCGCCCGACCCAGTGTCAAATCGACCCCGCTCAGAAAGCAGCTGCGTCGTGTTCTCACGGCGCGTCCAGATCTGGACGAGGAACCGAGTCTGCGTCCAGGTGACAATGAAGCTTGCCTCTGAAAGGCGGGCGCCGCCGTCTTCGTCAAGTGGCACATTGCTCTCGCCATCACCACCTCGGGAAGGGTCCGTTCCGTTGAGGACTGTGACGGAGCGCAGGTAGATGCTGCGCTTGAAATATGTGTAGAAGCCGTAGTGCTCTGTGTCAAGGCCGCGGTCGTACAGGCGGATAGGTTGCTGAAAGGCTTTTGGCATGAAGATGGCTGGCGCCGCGCTACCATCTTCGTTGAGCGCGGGCTCAGGAAGGTCGACGGGAAAGTCGGACGGCAGGTTAAAGTCCTGTCGCTTGTTGAGCACATTCGACCCAACCGTGCCGTTTACTGTGTCAAGGATGCTGAAGTAAAATGGCGTCGGTTCGCCAGCCTTGTCGTCGGAGATGATGCCATCTGTCGTGTTACCCAGGAAGTACATTTCTTCGAATGATGGGGGTGCCGGACTAGGATTGAAGGCTTGGCCATCTTGCCGCTTCATGAGGGCTGCTCGAGCTCTGGCGACGAGGCCACCACCTCCTCTTGGCTCGCGCGTGCGGCCTCGATCTGGTCGCGGGGGGCTGCCATTAGGAATGTTCCAGGGCTCATTCGTGTCATTGTTGTACTGGATCTGCATGAAGAAGCTGGGCTGGTTGGGTCGGAAAGGGGCAACAGAATCGTGCTCTTCTTTGGGAAGTGCACAGCTCCATATCGTCGTAGGCTGTGTACAGCCTGTTATGGCAGCCGAGTTGTCCGGTCCAATAACTGTGAGCGGGCCCGTGGGCATGGGCGGGAAGTCGGTCAGGTTGACAAAGATACTTGGCACCTCAACGGCAGTCTGACCACGTGGGATCAAGGTGACACAAAGAACGACAACGAGAACAATGAGAAGGATGGAGCCACAGCAGACACCGAGGCAGACACGTCTCCTTTTCCGGCCTTCACGGCCAGAGCGACCGAAACAACCGTTTGACGGCATGCACCCACGGCCGCGCCAGAAGCCACCAATCTTGCGAGCGACGACCTCTTCCTTCTCGTGTCGCCGCCTCTCGCGCTCGACCTCTTGGCCGGGCCCAGTGGCGGCCGTCAAGTGTTCCTGAGGCAAGTAGGTACCAGGCTGTCGTATTGGCATAGCCGACGTACCTGCGGCTGGGGTGAGGGGAATATCGGTCAAGGAGATACCGCCACGAGAGCTCATTGTTCCATTGATAGCGGGGGACGCAGGGTTCGGAGAAAAAGGATAGAGGCTCTGGAGGGGATGGCCTGTGGGGAACACGGCTCGGTATCTGACGGCGTCTTTGCTTGTTGGGCGGTGAATAGGGCGGGGGCTGATCTGAGGGAGTTCGAAGGCTTGCGGCGTGTTCATCGTCTTCTCACTCTGTTCCGCAAGCCGGGGGGTACGTGACCTCGATGAAGAAGCAGGCGATGGGGTACGAGCATTCAAAAAGGGGGATGGGGTTCTTCGAGGGGTAGGAATCCTGACTATAGGCGTGTGGTCGTGTCGGGGCGAAGGCTTTGGAGATGCTGGTAGTCCAGGTATAAAGGTCGAAGAGGGCGGGTCGTCCAACTTGATAGACTTTGCAAACTGCATCTTCTCAGCGTTCGGCTTGGAGAGTGAATCAGGTGATAGGCTGCCTTTCGGAAACCGTGACTCCTGAGCTTCTCGCAGAGGGCTCGTCTTCTCGGTGAATGGGGTGACGATGGTGTCCCACCACCCCCGCGTTTGTGTTTCAGCGCTGGAAGGGCTCTTGGAAACACCCTTTGCCTTGTTGGTCTTACTAGCAGTAACAGCCATACTGTTTCCGTCCTCTTCAAATAGTGTGCAGGGACTGCCACCGTCGTCTTCGTCGTCGTCGTCGTCTTTTTGTTGAAGCACAACAGCCACGGCAACCTCTGGTCTCTTGAACGTCGAAGGCACAGCAGGCACAGGCGGGGCGTCATAGGCAATAGGTGCCCCGTAACTGGTAGCCTGTGAATAGATGCTTGATGTGTGTCGAGGTGACTGGAACGGTGAAGTGGTGTCGGGGGTGTCGGGGCTCCACACGGATCGTTGCTGTGAAGGAGTCATGGGGCTGGGGGTTTTCCCAGGCTGCTGCGGGTTTGCTGGGTGGCGCAAGTGAGGATGGGGGGTTGGTGCCTCCAAGGGTGTGGCAAGCATGTGTGCATGGGCATCTGTGTTGCCGTTGCCACGCTGGGCCAGGTCCGAAGGAAGAGCGATGCCGATGACAATGGGGCGATCGTTTGGGGAGAGGTCCTGTTCGAGGGGCTCCGAGTGGTGGCACTTGAGGGATTTGGTCATGTTCTTCCTGGAGAACCAATTCCAGTTGCCCACAGAGGCGGACGACGGCTCACCTTCGAGGGCCTTGAGGGCGGCAGCATCGACAAACTTGCCTCTCGCGCGATGTGGGCTGTTGGCCAGATGGTGTTGACGACGGAGCTCGGTCATGTTGGTCACGACCTTGATGCCCGCTTTGGCATTTTGGTCCCTCTGCCTGTGGCGGGATTTCAGTCTCCTCAGCCTGTGGACGGATTGTCGTGACAGTGATGCGCGGGAGGTGGTAGGCTTTGAGGGCCTGAGAGGACTGGGCATGGCGGCCTTGTCGGCGATGAGGGCCTGCTCGTCGTCCATGATAGGCGTCACCACTTCTTCATCCTCCCAGTCTTCCCAGTTGTCCCTTGTGCCGTCGCTCCGGCTGTCCTCGTCATAAGCGGGTGGTCTCGGCGAGGAGCTGCAAGTGGCCATGTTATTGTGTAGTGAAGGGGTTGTTGTGTGATGAAGGAGCGTCAGCGGCAGCACGCAGCGATCCAGCTCGAGGCGGATGCACGAATTTGAAGGAAAGAATGAATAGATTGCTTTGTTTGAGATGTCGGGAGGCGAAGGGTGAAAGCCTGATTGAAAATGCTGAGACTAAACGTATCGGCAGTGGCTGTGGATTAAAAGAGTGACAGTATCGAAGCAGAGTAGACAAAGGAGATTGGATCACCAAGTAGGCAGGCCCAAGTAAGCAACGCGTCTGGCGAAAAAGAAGACGAAGAAGAAGAACAAGATCAAGAAGAGAGCGTTGTTCACGAACAATGGTCACAATAGAAGGTCTGGAGGCAGCAACTGAATAGGTTTTGCATCAAGACAGGGCAATGGACAACTGATGAATGGCTGGCCGGGCGGATTCATCCACTCCGACGCACGACAGCCAACGAGCGACGAAGGCGCGGCAGGAGCAGCTTGGCTCTCATTTGATGGCTGGCGGCGACATTGCCTCGATGCGCCGGATGTCATCACGACTCTCGAAGATGTATGGCTGGCTGGTGTTGAGGGCGTATGAGCAAGCGCCGACAACAAGGCAAGGAGCCTCGTTGATTGGCTCTCGTGGCGCCGGGGTCCTAGGAGTAACGTAGTTTGACAACACGAACTACGTGTTGCGGGTCTTCCGGTGAGAAAGTCTTGGCGATGAGACAGATCTACGTTTGCGATGCATCGTTCGTCGGAGGGCACGCGTGGGCCTGGTGAGGGGATGAAGGCGAGGAGGAATTGACTGACGATTGTTGAGGAGTGCGTCGCTGCCTCGAGGAACGCGAAGTCACGTGGTGACGACGCAGGCACGTACGTAGCCGGGTGCCGAACGAGGTGGGGGGGGTACAGGTGTAGGCGTGGCAGGTGCAGTGAAACACCAAACTCCTCTGTGGTACCCAGGTAGGTACCGATCTGTTGTGAATGGGCATCTAGAGGTCGGTACGTAAGTAGGTCCCTGAGATCAACAGAGCCTCTCGTGACCTCCCTTACGCAGATACCCGCTGTAACGCCTCAACCATCAATCCAATTGTCGACTATACACACCATACCGGCCGGCAGCTCCAAATCAAAGCCGACAAACAATGTCATCCTTGCGAGACTCAATGGGCGCTCGATCTGCCGTGCCGCTCTTGTGTCCCACCTGTCAGGGTCTTGCCATGGCATCCCTGTCCTGCCATTGTAGTGAGACTGTTTCGTTCTCTGTTCAACAGCCATTTGAGTAACGTAGGATTGGGTCATGCGTGGAGATCTCTTCCTTATCTCTTGCCTGGACACAAGAGCGTATTGATATATTCATTTGCAGGCTGACGAACATGTTTGCTGGTCTCGACCTGGACGTTGGCTTCACTATAGAGGCTTCGCTATAGGGTGTACCGAACATGTACCTGGCAAACACTGCGGCAAACGGGAGGACCCCTAAACTTGAATGACTGGCAGGCTCTCCAATCGCAGCCGCCGCTTCGGGCGATGGTGGCTCGCCCCTATTATCACTGGAGCCTTTTGTTGGTCGTCTCGGCTCCTCTGCCAGGCAAGCTAGGTACCTAGGTAGGTTCCTACCTGCTGTACCTAGACCCTCAGAAATCGCCCGAGCACTAAACCTACCGCATGGAGAAGACAACACCTAGCCCAAAAGCAAAATCGCCAAAGACTATTACTCGAGATGACATGAGCGAAAATACGACCGGCCTTGTCTTCCCGTCTTCGTTGACCCTCCATCCGTCATGTCTCGGTCCCATTGGCAAACTTTGACACTCGATTGAGAGAAAGCCCACGACAGCCACAAAACGAGCCCGCTCCAGCCAAGAGATCTACCACGCTCATCGTCTCCATAACCATCACCATCGACGGAATCACCTCCCACGTCCTTCCCCGGCATCGCCTAAAATCTGTAACTGCTAGTCTCGCACGGCCGTTCATCACAGACAACCGTCGGCCACCACTACCACCTCCGCCGACACTCCTCACCAAGGGCATTGGTGCTGCCGCCGCCTCGAGTCCATCGATCGATCCTGGCACGTACAATCGCTTTGCGACTGGCGCACCACAGAAGATCGTCGCCCTTGCTTCAACGCACTGCCCAAACGCCTTACCGTGGCCAAGGCCCGAAACAAGAAAGGAAGAAAAAAAAACACTTCGACGAAATCCACCCCCCACCACCTCTTATTTCCATCCCATCTCCCCTTCCCGTCTCGTTGTCATCTGGAGGATCCCCGTCCTCTAGTAACAACACCCGCATTCCACCAACCTGGCGCCTCCATCTCCCCCAGCCGCCTCGTCCTCGTCCTCCGTATCGTCGGCCAACGATCGACGACCCCCCGCTTCTCATCAACGCCGTCGCTCCTCCCTCAGCTTGGGCATTGACGTCGCGTCCGCTGAACGCCGCGGCCCCCAGCACCTGGGGGTGCAGGGCCACTCTTCAAACCTGCCGCCCATACCAGGTACGTGGCCAACACTGTCGCTGATGTCGTTCTTCCCAGCCGCATCTCTCTTGGTTTTCTCTTCTGCCTTCGCACAACCTTCTCGTGTCTGACAAGATTTCGCTTGCTGACGTTGTGTCCCTTTTCTTTCCTGCAGGCACCCCCGCCGATCCCATGTCTCTCTCGCGCAGCCCGTCACCCCATCCCGGCGGCGGCTGGGCGAGTCCCGGCCTCAACTACAACAGCGGTCGCAACAGCCCGACCGGCTCCTTTCCCTTTCCCTCGCCCGGCGGCATCTCCGCGCCATGGGAGGCCACCAAGATGAGGACCCTCGGCGTCACTGGCTACCCGTCCTTCTCGACTCACAACCAGGGCTTCTTCCAGCGTCACATGCGCCGCATCTCGAGCAGCCTGCCGTTCTTCAGCCAAGCAAATCAGCCGCAGTACGGAGGTTTCAAGGACAAGCAAAACCGTGGGCCATGGTCCGTACAGAACCTGCCTCTCATCGGGAGGATGCAGAGGCGAGCCGCCCGCATGAAGAGGAAGACAAAGATCCGGCTGGCATACTCTTCTTCATACTCTTCGCCGTCTGGGTCTTTTATCACAGTCGTAAGTCAAGGCCAACCCCTGCCTAGGCGCCTGCATCGGCAGCTAATGATTCGGCAGCTCTTTGTCTACCACTGGCGACGGACGTCATGGCTCGGCGGAGGCCAAAAGTACGTCATCATTCTCGCGGCGAATGTCGGAGGCGGCGTCATGGAATGGAAGGGCGCCCGGGAATGGGCGATAGAGAGAGACAGCGTCAAGAACAAGAAGGCGTACGCCGCCCGGTGGGGCTACGAACTGGAAATCGTCGACATGAGCACCAAGAAGCGATATGCGCACGAGTGGCGCGAGGGCTGGGAGAAGGTTGACTACGTCCGCAATGCCTTGAGGAAATACCCCAAGGCAGAATGGTCAGTGGCTTGAATCCACCGTTCGATTGGCGTACCTTGGCTAACGTGGCATCACAGGGTCTGGTGGCTGGACCTCAACACCTTCATCATGGAGCCCTCGTACTCACTGCAGAGCCACATTTTCAACGACCTTGCGAAGAACACGTATCGCGACATTAACGAATTCAATCCCCTCAATATCTCGCATCCCTTCGCCGAGGAATATCTCGACCCCACGTCTCGCAGCCCCGTGGGCGACGGCAAGCCGGAATCCATCAACCTTATCCTCTCCCAGGACTGCGCCGGCTTCAACCTCGGTTCCTGGTTCCTGCGGCGTGGCGCCGTCTCCGACCAGCTCATGGACGTCTGGTGGGATCCCGTCGCCTACGAACAGAAGCACATGGAGTGGACGCATAAGGAGCAGGACGCGCTGCAGCAGATGTACCGCACGCAGCCGTGGGTGCGTCAGCACACGGCCTTCCTCCCACAGCGCTCGATCAACGCCTTCCCCGCCGGCGCCTGCGGCGACGACGGCAAGGACCCCGCGCTACCATTACAGCCAGGACGAGCGCGACTTTGTCGTCAACATGGCGGGCTGCGAGTGGGGCCGCGACTGTTGGGGCGAGATGTTCCACTACCGCCAACTGAGCTATTACCTGAACCGCAACCTCTGGGAGCGCTTCAAGGAGGACCTCATTGCCGTCCTCTGGTTCAAACTGACGGGCCAGCACGTCAGGCTGTGAGGGTTGCCGGGGTAGGGGGGAGGGGTTCATCCATGTGTTCTTGCATTTTTCCTTTTTATTGTCCCCCTCTCTGCATCCAGCCAACACCGCTGGGGAGTTTTCCGCGGCTGACCGACTGCCATTTTTTTTTACCTTTTCTTTGCATCTCAGGGGTGTTCTTTCATGCATTGGGTTCTGCCGTCTTGGCGCGTTCTCGTGGTCATCTTGTATACCCCCTCCCTTTTTTTTCCCCTCTGGCTCATGTTACGCCCTGGGATTTCACGGGGTTGGTTCCCAGTTCTTTTTTTTCCGGGCCTCGGTTGCAATGTCATGACAGGCATGAATGGACGTAGAAGGTATCATGGATAGATCGTTGTTTAAAGCGAGCTCGTTACTTGGTCAGAAGAGGAGGGGATAGGGGAATTTCGCGGTGTCGTAGCTTTTACGAATGGGCGAATCGACGACTTGTTGTACATGAGGTGACACTGCCGTGAATTGGCAGATGCGGCAGGCAGCTTGGCGGCCGTCGCAGGGGATGCTGTGTAACTGTGTGAGATGATGGTACAGTGGTTGCTATTGCGTCGGGCTTGGTAGTGGTGCAGGTCCTGCGATAGAGGCGGTTGCACATGCCTAACAAGGCAAGTGAGTGGGGGGAAAGCGGATTTATGCGCAGTCGTGTCATCTGTTGGTCCATCAAGGATCATATGAGCAAGAGCGAGAGTCCCCCCCTTGGACACGGGCTGGTATTTTTGTCTTGCGATCTAGCTATTGGCGTCGTCCCAGAGCACCCGGACTTCTGGCTCATGGTCCGGTAAGCGGTCATTGACAGGAAATGGAATCGCGGCGGCCGGGATATCCAGTCGGGAAAACCATATACTCCGCTGCTCATGTGGCTGCTCAGGGATGTGCTCGGAGAATAGAGAGCTCCTCATGGCCAATGGTCATTCTTCATCGTCGCTGACTAATCGTTTTCTTCAGCCCAATGAGTGGGTTGGGCTCGGATATATTTGGTGAGTCGTCTCGGAAGTATAATTCGGAAGTATTTCTCGGATGTATACTCCTTCCTCGTGGCGTTCATTGGGTTCACGCGCATGGAGGAGGGGCTCGTCGTCAGCCTAGCTCCCCTCCTTGGCTTTTCATCCGCTGGTGTTCTTAGTGACGATCCATCGCTATCCCATAGGGATTACTTCGGTTTCATCTCGACCGATGCCGTGAACACTTGCACCGAGTCCATGGATTCCCCGGATCCGAGACGGAAGAGGAGGAGGGGCTCCTGACGCAATCTCGACAAATAGGTCCATGAACCCGACGGCGGCTCTCAGTCGGCCTTCCCTCCTACACAATTCACATCACCTCGGGACAAGTTGCAGTCTTCTTCCTGACACTTGAATCCGCCATCATGTCATTACCAACCATTACAGACGTCCGCTTCGAGCATCACAGACCAGGCCAGGCTCTCGGAGTCGACGACGCCACGCCGCGCATATCATGGCGCTTCGCAGATGCCCCGAACAACTTCTCACAAGAAGAATACGAGGTCAAGGTTGAACGCATCATCGGCGCGCAGGTCACCCAGCTCGGCAGCATCAAGGTCATCTCCCCAGAATCTCGCCTCGTGCCCTGGCCGCTCGAGCAACCGCTGGCTTCCCGCACGCGATGCAGCGTCAGCGTGCGCGCACGCCAACAGGGACAGCGGGAATATACCGCCTGGAGCGATCCCGCTATCATTGAGACGGGGCTCTTGGATCGGAGAGACTGGTCGGCACAGCTGATCTCTGCACCGTGGGCCGGCGACGACATTGAGACGCCCCTGCCCGAGGACCTCTTCCGAAAAGACTTTACCTTTGACGCGCCGGTGCGTTCTGCGAGGCTTTACATCACGGCGCTGGGTGTGTATGAGGCTGAGATCAACGGGAGGAGGGTCGGCGATCACTTTCTGGCGCCGGGCTGGACGTCCTATGACGACCAGCTGACTTACCAGACACATGACGTGACCGATCTTCTTTCTTCGCGGGACAATTGTCTCGGCGTCCGCGTTGCCGAGGGTTGGTTCAAGGGGCGTATTGGTTTCGAGGGCGGTCGCCGTAATATCTGGGGGCCGAGAACCGCCGTATTGGCGCAATTGGAGATTGCCTTCGACGACGGCTCGACTCGTACAATCACCACCGACAACACCTGGACCGTCAACAAGGGCCCGATTCAGCGCTCCGAGATTTACGACGGCGAAGTGTATGACGCGACGGCCGAGGTGCCGGGCTGGTCGATCCCTGGCTTCGAGGCCATGGGATGGGCCGCAGTCGATACCCTGCCCCCGATCGCAGATACCGTCCAGCTCCATGCGGGTGACGCCGAGCCTGTTCGACGCCTCGAAATCGTCAAGCCCATCGAAAAGATCACGACCCCCTCCGGAAAGACGGTGCTTGACTTTGGGCAGAACCTCGTAGGCTACCTTCGGGTCAACAAAGTCAGGGGTCCCCGCGGCCATAAAATCACCCTGCTGCACGCCGAGGTTCTCGAGAAGGGCGAGCTTGGCATCCGGCCGCTGCGTGACTGCAAGGCCCGGGACATCTACACCCTCTGTGGTGATGAGGCTGGCGAATCGTACGAGCCTCGCTTCACCTTCCACGGCTTTCGCTATGCCCAGGTCGACGACTGGCCATCCGCAGATATTGACATCCTGGACTCACTCGAGGCTGTGGTCTGCAATACCGACATGGAAGAGGCGGGAAACTTCACCTGTTCCGACGAAATGCTCAACAAGCTGTACTCCAACGTCCGCTGGGGCATGCGGGGCAACTTTCTTTCGGTGCCGACCGACTGTCCCCAGCGTGATGAGCGGCTGGGCTGGACCGGCGATCTCGCCCTATTCGCCCCGACAGCGACCTTCATCTACGATTGTACGGGGATCCTCAAGAACTGGCTTCGCGACTTGTGGGACGAACAGAAGCGGCAGGACGGCGTGCCGCCCATGGTCGTGCCGAACGTCGTTCAGGGGCACTTTTTCTGGGGCAAGATCTGGCCGGCTGCCATCTGGAATGACGTGACCATCCTCGCGCCCTGGGCCCTCTGGGAAGAGACGAATGATCTGAACGTGCTCATCCCGCAATATGACTCCATGGTCGCTTGGCTTGGTGCCATCCCGAAGAACAAGACTGGCAGTGTACATCTGTGGGATTTTGCCGCCCCTCAACTCGGTGTAAGTCGACTGACTACTGGACATGCGGCGATGTGATTGTTTGCTGATCTTTGTAAGGACTGGCTGGATCCCAACGCGTCCCCTCACGAGCCCTGGAAGGCCGTGACCGACCCTCCACTGGTCGCCAATGCGTTCCTCATCCACTCCCTCGACGCCATGTCACAGATCGCTGGCTTGCTGGGCAAAGAGTCCGATGCAACCCGTTACCGTGAAGAGGCCGCCGCATGCCGTCTCGAGTTCGCCGCCGAGTACGTGTCGTCAAACGGCCGCCTCACGTCGGACACGCAAACTGCCTACGCTCTCGCCATCACATTCAACCTCCTGGCACCCACTCAACTCCGTCGCGCCGGTGACCGCCTTGCCGAGATTGTCCGCCGCAACAGCTTCCGCGTCGGTACCGGCTTCGCAGGCACTCCGTACATCTGCGAGGCTTTGGCCCAAACTGGCCACTCCGATGTCGCCTATGCCATGCTGACTGAGCGGGCGTGTCCGTCGTGGCTGTACCCCGTCACCATGGGCGCGACGACCATGTGGGAGCGCTGGGACAGCATGCTCCCCGACGGCAGCGTCAACCCGGGCGATATGACGAGCTTCAACCACTACGCGTACGGCGCCGTGGCCAAATTCATGGTCGAGCGTCTTGCCGGTCTTAAGAGGGCGGAAGCTGGGTGGAAGAGAGCAAGGACGGAGCCAGAGATTGGTGGAGACTTCACGTGGGCGAGGGCAGAGCATCTGACGCCCTATGGACGGGTCGCCAGTTCGTGGCGGCTCGAGGGCAAGGAGGGCGATTTGACGCTTACCATTGACGTGGTTGTGCCGCCGACCACGGAGATGGAGGTGGTGATCCCTGGTGACGAACCGAGGACCGAGACTGTCGGCTCGGGAGAGTGGTCGTTCAGCGTGCCGTTCACGAGGCGGTATGAATGGCCTGTCAAGCCCATCTCGGCCATGCCTGTCTGAGAAGCGGTGATTTACGCGGTGTCTCATTCCGATGATCCGGCAGAGTTTGGGCTCCTCTCCCAAGGTCACAATCATCTCGGGTACCTTCATGGCGCTCCAGGTGTGTCATGTTGAGTTTGCCGAAAGCCTCTGTAGATATATGCACGTAAATATGAGGGACCTCATCCTTGTTTTGTCCATGAAAGCCCATGCTTTGCATGCTGCAGTCATTGACACCATTCAGCGACCGGAAGAACTACCTCGTGATGGCTGCCGCAACCTGGTCAGATCCTCCAAACGAAGCCCGGTAGGTCATCTTTGACTTGGAAAGGCAAAGTCACGTAACAGTAAAATCGGACTCCCACGAGCGAGCCGGATATCCCCCGGTGTTCAGGCAACGCCAGGCCGTCCGAAAGCCGCGAGACGGAGCAAGAGAACCGCCGCGCTTTCCTTTCCTCGAGGCGCTGGCAAGACTGCTGAAGCTGCTCGCACCATGGTCGACGTCGCCCGAGCGCCGCGGCGGCCTGGCGCTGGACCTCGCCGTACACTCGCCCAGCGACGCAAAACAGACGTCCCACGAGCTTTGCCTGACGGCACGCTACCCGTCTACGGCCGGCGTCACGCTGCCCACGCAGCTCGTCCCGCCCGCGAAGCTGCGTGCCAAATCAGACACAGCATCTGGGGCAAGGGTACGGCAAGAGGCCGCGGGCCTTGGCCACCGTCGGTGGCCTGGGGCGTCGCACTTCGATCGGGATCATCCGCGTCACTGGAGAGGAGAAAAGACGTGCCCCCAAGTGTCAGCGTCGTCACGACGCTTGTCATACGGCGCCAGTCCTATCGCGCCGTCGGCTCGGCCTCCATCGTCGGGCTCATCAGCACGCGCCCTCGCGAGCCTTGACACGCTGCAAAGCGCGCGATGTCACTGCAGTGACGCCTCCGATGGTGGCCCGGTACACGGCGACTCCTTCAAGAGACTGCATCTCTTCAGCGAGGCGGGGCCCCGAAACTCATTGGATGGGGTCCCTCCGCCGGCCCCTTCGGCCTTCACCCTGCGGAGATGCTCTGCTAGAAGGCGTGGACGCTGCGAAGCCAAAGGGCGCCCTCTTCCTCGACGCGATGGCCTTCTTCGCGTACCTTTGGTTCAAGCCGGCGTCGCGGTGTCCCAAGCTCGAGTACCTCGTTCTGACGTCGTCCCTTCAAAATCACCATTAACTATTGTGCATGGTGGGCCTTCTCGTTACTATAAAGTGGACGGCCAGGACGCACATGCCGAGGATGAAGAAAATGAAGATTCGGAATGGAAGCACCTGGACGGGGTTTGTGCTGCGATACTGTCGAATCAATGATGGTGGTTGTGCCGAGAAGCGTCGGTTCTTGCTGAAGACCGCGCTCAACTCGGACGTTTGGGAATCGGTATTCTCGCGATGGCCTTGTCAAATCTCGATGCCGGGCTTCATATTGAGGACATGTCACGGACTACCAGTGTCACTTTGATATATCGAAAACCCTGGAGCTGGGGGATCATGTGTTGGACCCGTTGCCAAGGTTCCAAAAGGTATGGGAACACAAACAGTGGTGTAGATAGCAGCCACGGCCAAAATAGTGACGGAATACTCGATTGCTCTTGGTGGTCAAGTTCACATTACGCTTGCAACACCTTTAGTCGCGGGGCGGCTGGCCAAAGCAGTTGAGTCATCTCTGAATATGTGCCGGAAATTGTGGCCGTAAATTCCTTTCTATGCTCCCCAAGCCATATAGTTATCTCATAAATCATAACAAGCACCCTTTCTGGAAGCTAGAGTCCGTAACTAGGGTAACTCGAAACCAGTAGCTCACCAGACTTCCCATTTTACGTGCTTTCCAATGGCACACAACCTATTGAAAAGGGCATCCCGATATGGTAAACTAGTGACAATATAAACAGCCCCCTTTTTGTCGACGATCCTGAGTGCATCGTATACTGGGCCATCCGTCGCCCATCCGGCAGCCAGCTTTGCCTTCATGCCATATCCAGAGTGCTTCCTGAGCTGCTCAATGTCCTCAGTGTTCACTACCCAGAGCGTCTTCAGGTCCTCCTTTTTCGAGATGGGCGTGCGGATGCTATGCTTATCCAATGCCAGAAACGGCTCATCAGCTGCCGAATTGACGTATACGTACCCAGCTGTCCCCTCATATCGGGCGCTGAACTCTACGGGGCCTACGGTCTGTAGCCCTCACTTCTCCTGTTTTTCTTTCTTGACTGGCGGCAGCACACCAACGCGCTGCTTAGCGTGGGTGGCACCCATCTTTGCGCGGATTTTGTCGACACCTGCGGCAGCCTTGACGGCTTCCTTGGCGCTGCCCTTGAGAATACTCAAAACTCTCTCACGCTTGTTGCCGTGGCCCACGGCCTGCTCGACTTCGGTGTCGCCGCCGCCGGCGTGGTCTGCCTGCGCAGCATCGTATCCGGCTGTGTGCTGCAGCTCATCGGCGGAGACACCGAGGGGCTGATCACCGACCGAGGCATCAATAACGGTCTGATCGATATCGATGGGTTCATCGGGCGGAGGCTGGTGGACACGCGCTGGAGGTGGGAACGGGGCTTGATTGGCCTCACCGAGGCGGAGCAGCGTCAGAGCGAGTTGAAGGTTGGTGGGAACACCTCTGAAGATGGTGCTGGAAGGCTTAGCACGGGTTCCGGAGTGTGAACTTGATCTGAGACGTACTTGTTGAGGTGAAAGTAATTAGTCTGACCGTTGCCCCGCCAAGTTCTTGAGGCCGCGGAGACGAGGGGTTCGCCGAATACCAAGACACCAACGACCAAAAGTCAGGCCCCTGACAGCGACATCGCGTGTACCAACAGCGACAGTGCAGCCAGGGGCCCGAGGTACCATGCCAGTCGAATGCGGTGGTTTTGTCGATCAAACGGAGGGGTCGGTACCAGAATGCTACACAGAGTTAGGATTTTCACGGCGCTCAGGCACGGGAGAATGAGGAACTTGGCCAATCTCTCCCCAGGTATCGGACGTCAGGATAAGGAGATGCAAGAGAGGGCGTCATCTGGTGCCAGACCTGTGGTGCCTTTAGCAACAGCACCCAGAACACGAGCACGCGTGTTTTCGCACCACCTCCTCAACGGGTACCTTCGTCTTCTCCTGAGACGGCCGGTCCATACCCTCAGCCTTGTCTTTCACGACGGCCATGGTCGTCTCATCAAATTGCGGCTTGAACCCGTCTCTACTGCCGCCCTCCTACTCGAAAGGCGCGCCATGATGGTCTTGTCCCATCACCAAATTGGTAGCGATCGCGGCGGCCCTCGTCACAAAGTTACTCGCTTCGTTTTCCGCAGCTTCACCCTTGAGGTTCTGTGGGGCGCCGGTCGCGGCATCGGTCGAACCAAGGGTGCCGGCCATGGGCTTCGCCACGCCGCCGGTGGTCATGTCGACCATGGACAGCGGTGCCGGCGGAAAGAGCACGACTCGTGCCCGGGGCGAGACGACGAGGGCAATGGTTGCGACGGTGAGGAGTGGCATGAGACAATCGAGTGTCCAGGCGGCAAAGTACGTCTTGGCGGGTCGTCAGCACTGTAACGCGGCCAGGGATACACCAGCATGGGAGTTTATTTCGAGTCCAAATGCAGCTGTTCTTGCTGGCTCACGCCATGAGCGGAGTCGAGCAAGAGTATTGACGAGCGCAAACAGTCCAAGCAGCTGGTGGCATTGCCCGAGTCAGTATAAATGAAAATGGCCCAGGACATGGCAGGGGAGGGGAGGCAATTACACACCATGCCCATGTACAGCCTCTCCACCTCACTGCGCAACTTGTTTGGCGAGCACTCTGAATCCCGGGCGACGACGAGATCGAGGCCTCCATAGGGGACATGATCAGTCTTTTTGAGTTCGTACACTTCCTGTCATGGGTTAGCACCGATGGTTCCCGTCGCGGGCAAACGGGAGAGCGCCAAGCGGCTGTGGCCTTATTCAATCTTCGCACAAGTACCCAGACATTCTCGTTGTGCATGCCTTTGATCCAAGGTTTGGCGTCGTGCTCTGGCTTTTGATTCCAACCTAGGTCAAACACGGAGCCATCATCGCTTGGCGCTGCGGCCGTGACCGCTAGGACGTCGGCTTTCGCCAGACTATGCGAGTACGTCTGTGTCTCACGGTGGGCCATATTGCGAGGATTCGATCCATATGAAGATAAAAGTGCTATAATAAGCTACCCTGGCATAAAAAGCATTCGCGGCGTGCCCAACTTGGTTGCAATGCCATCTTGTCAACTGCACCTCATTAGAAGCTTATAAGAGAGTCGGCAGGCGAGAAGGTCCGGCAACTCTGCCAGCAGCCAGATTGAACCATCACTGAGAGTTTGGAGTGACGTCCGGGCCTGTCGTCGACGGGCCATACGTTCCAGCGTGGGACAACTTTGTATCACCCAGGGGGGGGGGTTGGAAGCTGACTGCGATGTGGAAAAGTAAATCGGGTCATCTGGCTCGCCTATCCAGGTTTCTCGTGTGTCGGTCGGAATAAGGGAACAATTTGGATCCAGGTTACCCCCGGCTTGCCACACGTGTATTGCACTGCAATGACAGGCGTCTGTCCGTCCGTCTGGTATCAGATCAAGTCCGAATGGCGCCCACATGCCATTTCATCGGGACTGAGTTTCCAGAAAAGACACGACGCCGCAGCAGGGGCAGCGGGGCCGACGACGAGTTCGAAACGATGATCGCCGTGGTCTGAGCCAGGGGGAGGGGAAGAGATGAGGAGGGATTGCCCCTCTCGAGCTCGAGGCATGTTCGAGGCCAAGAGAGGGGGGGGGGATGACATAAGCTTTGGCCGCGAGAACATGGGTGGTGTTGCTGCTGTGCCTGTGTTCCCTATTCTGTAACGTGCTGCTGACCCGGAGATGTGCTGTGCTGTCTGTGCTGTGCTGTGCTTTGCTGTGCGCTTTTGTGCTATGCGTCTCGTCGCACTCACTGTAACATGTAGCTGCTGCTCCTTTCGTCCTGCTCGTGATCATTCCAACGCCATTTTTCTCGCTTCTCGTTTCTCGCTCCTCTGACCTTTCCTCTTTTGCTGCTCTTACCCCAGGTCATGATGCCGTCCGGGCCAGACGGCTGGAAGGCAGGTGCAACCAACAAACGTGGCGCTTTTCTTCCATTTAACCATTTTCAGCTCAAATCTCCCCTCCCGACCTCCCGATCCGTACAAGGGCTTTCTAGGTCGGTCGAATCTCTCAATCGTCAAACACGTCCAGCTAGCAGCTAGCAGCTAGCAGCCCAGTCCGCCATGTGACGAGAAGCCATTCCACACGTGGCTGCAGCCTCGCCTCCCCATGAGGATTAGAGTCGGGAGCCAGGGCCCGAGTTGTACCACGAGTGAGACACAGAAGCCCTCCCCCCCCTCTTCCCCTCCTCCACCGCTCACTCGCATGCGAGGCGTCGAGGCAAATGTGCGAGGCAGGGGAATATGATCAACAAATGTCAAGGAAGGAGGGAGAGGGGGATAAGAAACGAACATGGGTGGGGCCAGGACCCAAGCTTGCCAAGCTTGCCAACCAAGATTTTCACTTGTGTGCGGGAGCGAGGCGGGCTGCGCCGTCACAGGCCTGCAGATGAACACGATTAATATGGCTCTTAAGCTGTTCTTGTTTGGGCTCCTCCCTCCCCCCCCGTCCTCGCTCTCTTTCTCTTTTGCTGTGCGTGGCCCTGCCTTCCTTCTTAATCGAGATTGAGCCCGGGCCCCACCCCTCGTCGCTCTTACCCTAGCACTCGTCGTCAGACCAGTCGATCCCGGCGTGGCGGGTAGATGGGACGCACATGCCAATTTAATCAATTGCTACTACGTTTTAGAAGGGAATCAAAGGGAAAAAAAAACAGGGCATCGCTTTCGACATCATCACCACCATGTCGAGATAATCAGACTGGCTCCATCGGGGTATATCCCATCGCTTGATTAAGCTTTTAGCGTGCCGTCCCACCGTCTCTGATGAGAAGGGGTGAGAAGAGGGACCCCATGGAACCACTGGCCGGCACGACAGGATGGGGCCCGCTCTCCTCCAGTGTCCTCTGCCAGGCACAGACAGCTCCGTCCATCTGCCGGCTGCACGCATCTGGAATCCTCTAGGCTTGGTCTCGTCTGAAAGCGAGCTTTCGATTCGCCCGGGGACGAGGTTGAAGGACGACCGTGGTGGGCTGGGTGGTGGGGCTCGCCTTGGCGGTTGGTCGACCCAGAGGCACCAAGCAGGGGAGATCGCGGAGAAGGTCTCCATTCTTGGGTCACCGGCGGACGGGAAACCGTTGCCTTCTCAGTGCCAAGGCGACCAGGGAAAGGCGCACCTCCCTTCCTCCCCCACCTCCTCTTCCTCTTCCTCCTCGCTTCGCATCCAGGACCGGGGTGGTGGGAAGAGCGAAGCTTGAGAGTCAGGGTCAAATTCAGCACACACTTTCGCCTGTGGCTGTGTCGAGACTTGGCGATGGGGACCTTGGAGGGGGAGGGGGCTTTTCGTCTGATGGACCAGACCGTTCCTGTATCGGAATCAGTTCGATATTTTCTGCCCAGCACCTGCGATGCGCGCTAGATGGCAAGTAGGTTCATCGAGGGTGGGCAGGAGAGAGAGAGGGTTTCAGAGATTGGTCGGTTTCAATCTAGGTGCTAAGTGGTAGTGAGATCCGATGGTAACCTGCTAACGAAGCGTGACAGCTCGTTAAGGTCAGTAGTTCGCAGACGGCAGAAGGAAGGCTTAGATGGACGCTGACGGGTGCGCTCGACCCTTTTGAAGTGATCGATTGCCGAAACCGAGTCAGTTTCCGATGGGGATGGGCGTCATATTTGCTACCACACCAGGCAGGCGAGCAAGCGAGTAAGGGACAAGCAAGCAAAAGGCAAGAGAGCTCTCATCTTGGAAACCGACCTGTCGGTCAAGATGTGCCGCTGGGCCAACCCTACGGCACCGCTCGTCCGATGCTGTGTGCAATATGGCGTATAATATCGAAGCATAAGCAAGCCTTTCCTCGACAGTCATAACTATCTCCGCGCCACCAATCACCCATCACACACCAACAGTAGTGCAGGGGAGGGGGGGGAGGTGAGGGGAGGGGGCCTAGAAAGATCGCCTTTACCAGGGGCTTGGTGACTAGGCATGTCTTGTCTACCAGGCGTGGTCAGATCCTCCCCCTGCTCGCCGGTGAACCGGGTTTCCTCGTGAAACTTTCGACGCTAATCACAAGCCTCTACAAGCAATCCCCGGCAGACAACATCACAAGGTGGACCTTCGGGCTTGGCTCACTCTACACTTCGCGGGGTCCCCGGGCCTGGATTCTCCCTGTGTGTCTGCTATGCAGTCTGCATGCTGTCTGCACGTTGGCCCTCGTGTGTGACTGGCAATTTGGGGCGTTCCCCTTCACTCTTAATATTCCCAGCGAATCCCCCTTCCATGCCCCTGCTCCCTTTCCTCTGTTTTGCCCATTTGCCTTTTCGACATCAGAAAGAGAGAGATCAAACTCACAAACTCTCCCCTTGGATCATTTCGCCCTGGCCCCGTGCCGTGTAGAGGGCGCCGCCTCCTCGCTACCACGCGTTGCCTCACCACCCCCGGTATCGTACTCGACACGGCCGCTATGTAACCATGCATCTCACGGCACGCAAAGATGTTGAAGAGGTTCATCCCTTCGTCAACCCATGGACTGAACTGAACGCTGGCCTCTGGTCGCTCTTCGCCGGTGCGACTATCTTTTTGGCCCTCCGACTCTGGGTCAAGGTGACCCGTCGTCACGGCCTCTGGTACGATGATTACATCTTACTCGTTTCGTGGGTGAGTCGCGCGACCTCTCGTTTTCTCCAAACTCTCCGCGGCAGCACTGCCTCCGCACTTGCTGGATGCGGTCATCTCACTGACACGCGACACCTCAAAGTGTATCTTGCTCGCCAACAATGCTTTGATCGTTCATCAGTTCGCCACGGGCTACGTGCTCGAGAACTCGGCCATGGAGTGGGACGACCGCATGCACATTCTCATCAACATTTCATCATGCGGTACCCTCATCGGCCAGGCCCTGACCAAAACGGCCTTTGCCGTGACGCTCCTTCGCATGAGCAATCAGTGGCAGAAATGGGTGCTGTGGTTCTGTATCGTCACCATGAACCTGTACATGGTCCTCAAGGTCTTGTTCCAGTGGGCCAAGGTGTGCGACAAGAACGGCTACGACAACTGGTACCGCCTTGATTTCTGCATCTACTGGAGCTTCCGCGACAAGTTCAAGGAGGGTGGTAACGGTACGTGTCTTGTCCTTTCGGCCAAGCAAGACTCGTATTTGCTGACAGGAGGCAACAGTGTACAACATTATCATGGATTTCGTCTTTGCCTGCTTCCCCTGGTTGATCACGCGATCGCTCGAGATGCGAAGGGTCGAGAAGGTCGGCCTCAGTCTGACGATGAGCTTGGGCATGATGTAAGCTAATCCAGCGACGTGAAGCCTGGCGTACCTTTCAGTGCTGACATGGAAAACAGTGTTGCCATTGTGTCAGCCATCCGCGTATCCTGGAAGGACAAGGGCAACGACCGCGACGCGTACTACATCTGTAAGTGTGATGACGATTGCCGTCTCTGGCGGCATTCTTGCTAACGACATGCCAGATCGCAACGGCCTGTCTCAAGTCTGGTACTCGTCTGAAATCACGGGCACCATCATCGTGCAGTGCATACCGATCCTCCGACCCATCTTGCGCGACATCCACGCGACACTGACCTCGAAGCGGCTCAACTCATCGGCCGACGCGCGCAGCACTGGCGTCTGGGGCAGCAAGCTCGAGACCAAGAGGGCATCGACGGTGATCATGGACGCCGACCGCAAGGACAGCGAACGCATGGAGCTGCGCGAGATCCCCGAGGAGGAGTCGGCCGAGGAGGACTGGAAGGAGAGGCACACGTCGTCGTCACCATCAGAAGCGACATCAGCAACATTAGTATCGCCGCGGACTGACGCCTGGCCGTTGGGCAAGACCTCAGAATCCGGGACAGCTGGGACGCCCGGATCGAGGAGTCTGGAGGCTGAGCCGGATGGTGCGTCGAACTACTCGAGTGTGGGATATGATGTTGAACAGAACGGACTGTCAGCGCCGCCACGAAGGATGTACCTGTAGTGTGTTTTTGATGTATTTAGCGTGTTTGTCTGCTTATTCATTGACAGAAAAGAAAATTTCTTTGAACACTGATCTCCTGGTCGGACTTGGGTGATTGCATAGCATTTTGGAAAGAAACCAAGAGACAAAGGACCCCTGGCGATCGATCTGCCAGCCGTCGTGGGATGGACGCAGTCAAGAACGGGAGGGCCTGACAACAAGAGCAAGGGTTAGGTCAAGAGGCGAGGGGTTCCGATACTTTCCCATGACGCCAATCGCCATGTCCTAACCCCCTCCATTCCAGCTGATGGATGGTCGCCAAGATAGCCGAGCTTTGACGAGGGGGGTTTCATGCCGGAATGCTGCGTGGTGAACGAGAGGCTGAAGACGAAGGGCAGCAAGCGCCTGATGACAAAGCCACGGTCAGGAACGTTGGCGCCACAGAACGCCTCAACCTGACCAAGTTCGACGGGCTTGATTGGCCATGGCTTAACGACAAACGACAAACGACAAACGACCCCCTCGACGATACTCGCCATGTCGAGCTTTGAGCAATACATCAGCCTTTTGGTCGTGCACAATGAACGGGCTGTGGCAAGATGAATAGGCCAAGCCCTCGAGGCTAACGCCCTGATCGTATGCCGTAACATGAAAACCCTTTAAAGGGGTCCCGAGGTCCAGCCCCGTCGTCCATCGACTGGAATGCCGACGTTGCCAAGGCGAGACAGGGAGGTGCCGGAACCGATTAGCTTTCGCCTCAACGGAAGACCGTAGCCTGTCACTCGCGAGACTGGCATGTCAAGGGTCCTCCTAGATCAGGGAAAACCGCATACTTGGAACTCCCCAGCCGTTAGACGCCTTCCATACGTCTCACCTTGCACACCTATTGCGGCATATGAGGCGCCCCTGTTTCCTGTTTCGGGCCGCCATGAGGCTGCCACGATGGCCGTTTTCTTCTCAGTAGGCCTCGGATGTGTAGGTGTAGCTCGGTACACAGCAATTTGCATTCCCTGCGGTGGACAATGATTCAGCTGCTCTGGCCACCGGTTCGGGTTTGTCGTGCACTGCTTCACTGCACCATCGTCATCCACCATTTCATTAACTGCACTTGCCCAGCCAGCCTAGCATTACGAAGCCTGGTCTTCAGCTTTCTTGGTTCTTTCCACACTCCCTGTTTTTTCACGTCACAGCTTTCTTTGATTGGAGCCTAGAGCCGTTGGTCTCGCTCCATATCGTCCCAGGCCAAGAAAAGCCCTACAGAATCTCCATTCTCTATCAGGTGGCCTGTCGACTGCACAGCCTCCTGTTTTTCTTTTCCTCTTCATCTCATCGTTCATTTAAGGGTTCTTCCATTCTCGTCCCTCCTTCCTTCCTTCCTACCAAGGAGAGACAGAAGAGCCTTGTATTATCATCAGTGTCAAAACTCTACCACTGCGAGCATCAACCCTGAGGCGCTCGTCTTCTCACAGCATTCTTTCACCTGGTCACTGTCGTGTATACTGTCTGTTCTCTTGTCTCAACACAAAGCTCACCAACCTATCCTCATCGAGGAGCTTAACAACGAATCAATATATCGAGCAATATGCATCTACAACATCTAACCCTCGGCCTCGGCGCCCTCGCCACCGTCACTTACGCCCAGCAGCAATATGTTCTGCACGACAACTACGACCGCACCAACTTTTTCAACGAGTTCGGCTTCTTTGACGCGCCCGATCCTACCAAGGGGTTTCAGCGTTACGTCAACGCGTCCGAGGCCAACGCCCAGTCCTTGGCCGGCTTTGCCAACGATGGCGTCTTCCTCGGCGTCGACTACACCACACCAGGCGACAACCGTCGTTCAGTCCGCCTGACCTCGAACAAAGCTTTTGATGGCGGCGTTTTCATCGCCGACATTGCCCACATGCCCGCCAACTCGTGCGGCGTATGGGGTGCATTCTGGATGTTTGGCCCCGACTGGCCTCACGGTGGCGAAATTGATATCATCGAGGGCGTCAACACGCAGGAGAGCAACAAGGTCACCCTCCACACGGGGCCCGGCTGCTCCATCACAAACGAAGGCACCGACCCCTCTACCACGCTCGACAAGAACGACTGCAACGCCGGCGAGGCCTTTGTCGGCTGCACCCAGCGCACGGCCAGCAACCTCAACTACGGCGACGGCTTCAACGCCATTGGCGGCGGCGTCTACGCGGTCGACTGGACGCCAGACCACATCTCGGTGTACTTTTTCCCGCGGGGCGCCGTCCCAGCCGACATCGCCGCCGGCACGCCGAACCCCGGCGCTTGGGGCCTCCCCGTCGCGCGCTTCAACGGCGGCGAGGGCTGCAGCATCCCGGACCACTTCAGGCAGAACAACCTCGTCTTCAACATTGCGCTGTGCGGCGAGTGGGCAGGCAAGGTCTGGAGCGAGAACCCCGAGTGCTCGGCGCTGGCGCCGACGTGCGACGACTTTGCGGCGAACCACCCGGGGGCCTTTTCCGAGGCGTACTGGCTGATCAACTCGGTCAAGGTGTACCAGCCGGCTGTGTGATCGTAGCGGCTGACTCTGGGGAGACATCCTGTTCGAGTCTTGGTATTTGGAACACTTTGCATTGCAGCGGCTAGGGGGCATGGCATTGGGAACTCGGCGTTTTTTTGATGATTATGATGAGGGATACCCCATACTTTCGTTTTTTATTTTCTTGACAGGTGTCTGCATCGGCAGAAGCAAGAGGTAGTCAATCAACAGTTCTAACATTCAAGTCGCAACAGCAAAAATCAAAAGCAAGATCGCGCCTCAAAGTGATAAAATTGGTGAAGATTGCTATGGTCATCATGTTCAATTCTCACGCCTCAGACTGTAGGCAGCAACACGGTGAAAACGTGACCCGCACTGTGTCACTGGACAATATCGCCGGGTTTGCCACATGATCTGAGCAGGACGTACAGTGTTTAGTACTGCTCGGACTGTGCCTTACTCACGGCAACTGCATCCCAGCCTTCCAATAGCACTCACTCACCTCAATAAGCCAACGTCATCTAGCAAGCATTGCCAATCGTTCACCCATCGATTCATCATCTACCATACTTCATTTTTCATTCCTTCACTGTTGCAGTTGCGCTAGCGTGGCTCGGAAGATGGCATCCCGCTTTCACGGGTACATCCCAGTGGGATGCCTGATTGGCGACGACATCGTCAATCCATCACGAGATACAGCGCCGACAGCCCTCCACAACTGGCATGTACCAGGTGAAGATACTCTAGTGAAGAGCAGGACGCCCGAGGGCTGCGCGGCGCCTCCGAATATCTGTGCCAGGTTCTTGATCCGAGATGGCCTCTCACGTCTCTATGAATCAAATTGGATCAAATTGGAGCACATCGCACCACCCGGTTCAGCAGAGGTTCTCAGGATATACATCCTTCCCGACGACGTTGACAACAATAATGTCCCGAGATCAGATGTCAAACTGCAGAAGGACCGTCGAGCCCTCTTTACTAGGCTCGACTTTTCTACAGAAGCGTGGAGTGGCAGACCTGGGACAACCCCTCGATCAAGTCCAGAGCCCGCAGAATCCACCACCGAAGAAGAGCTTTCTTTGCTAGACATGTTCAACAACATTCCATCTCCTGACCCGGACCCAGACACGATTGTTGACCCTGCCAGCCGGGAGTCAGTCGATCAATTACTCGCCAGCAGAGTCAAAGGTCTCATAACATCACTCTATCTCTACCAGCGTCAATCAGCAGCCTTGATGGCCATAAGGGAGGCTCAGCCTGGGGAAACGCTTGACCCTCGACTCCTCCGAGTGAAAGATCAGGCCGGAGAAGATTGGTATTACGATGCCGCGGCAGGTGTTATCCTGCGAGAGCCGCGCTACTACGACGGCGTCCGGGGCGGCATCCTCGCCGAGCAAATGGGCGCCGGCAAGACCCTGATCTGCCTCGCTCTGATCCTCGCGACTAAGTCCCTGCCGACACGGGTTCCTGCCCATTGCCTCCGCGACCGCACTGAGACGGGCCGGATCAGATCGCTCGCTGACATGGCCGCTGCCAAGCTTACAGCCGAAGGTATTCCGTGGAGATATCACTTTGGTGCAGAGTCGGGCTTGGACCACTCGGCATGTGTCAAGGTACTTACTCGCAACCCCGGCTTTTACCGGCTGCCCTCATCCAACACTTCCCGGCGAGGTCGCACCAGCACCGAGCCAGCGTACGCAAGAAGAATCGCGATCAGCCATTCTTCGCTGATTGTTGTACCGAACAATCTACTCAAGCAATGGCAAGGGGAAGTCAAGTTGCACACAATGGACAGTCTCAGTGTTCTTGTTCTGCATGACAAGGGTCCCGTACCTGCCGTCAGTGAGCTCGCGCTCTATGATGTGATATTTCTCACGCACTTTCGTCTGGAAAGAATGGTCAGAGCCGGCACTTGGGAAGAAAACCCCTTGGGAGGCATCCTCTTCAAGCGATGTATCGTAGACGAAGGCCACAAGCTTGGCAACTCTACTCATAACGCCCGGAGTGATTTCCTCCTCGGACTTGGCAACATTCACACATCGTCCAGATGGATTGTTAGCGGTACACCCTCGAAGGGGCTCTACGGAGTGGACGAGCAGAACCGAGAAGATCAAGGAGCTACGAAGTCGACAGCGGAGCAGTCGAGAGTCACAGAGAAGGGCGACCTGGCAAGGATAGGAGCGATAGCGACCCTCTATCTCAAAGCCCGCCCATGGGCTAACAGCGGCCTCCATGGCAGCAAGTCGCCCTGGTCCGTCTACGTCATGCAGCCAAGACACCTCGCCAGTGGCGCCGGCAGCAGCACGGCGCTGCGGGCGACGCTCAATTCGCTCATCATTCGGCACCGTCTCTCGGAGCTGACCCATGTGCTTCCGGAAGTTGACGAGAAGACCGTCCTCCTCGATGGCTCCTACCAGGACAAGCTCTCTCTCAACATCTTCTCCATGGTGATCGTCGCCAACGCGGTGCAGTCGCAGAGGACGGACGCCGACTACTTCTTCCACCAGCGCAACCGCAAGTTCTTGCTTCAGCTAGTACACAACCTCAAGCAGGCGAGTTTCTTCGGAGGGTCTTTCTTCTCGCATGATGATATTGCCACATCTCTCGACACAGCGGTCACATTTTTGGCACGATGGTAAAGTGCCAATCAGCAGCGAAGACCAGGGCCAGCTCCGTCAGGCTATAGATG